AAAAAAAAATGGACATTTTCCAGTTTATAATTAAGTTTTAAGTAGAATTAATAAATATTTTTTAAGTTAATAATTTAGTTATGGGAAAAATGGTTTATAAATTTAGAAAGTTAATATGAATATAAAAGTATATTTCAAATAAAGGTTAGACTACTTAAAATAAATGTAAAGCAAAAATACAAAGGTTTGATGATCTAAAAATGCAAAAGTGATGGAAAAAAATGTAAAATACAAACACTTTGTAAAAATGAAAATGTAAACTCTGTAAAATTAAAATAAAAAGATTAGACTACGTAGAAAAATATAAAGATATTATTCACACACACACATATATACATATATATATATATATATATATATATATAATTTTTTGAAATTTATACATTAAATCATTCCACCTAAATATTCAAATTAATTTTATTTTTTAATTTAAATTTTAAAAAATACCTACTTTAAATTTATAATTTTTTTGAAAATATTAAAAATATAAATGTAAAATGACACTTTTAATTTTTACTCAATATATTTTACATTTTTATTAACTTATTTAAAAATTATAGTATCACTTTACATTTACATTTTTAATGTTTTTAAAAATTATAAGTTTAAAATAGGGATTTTTTTATTGAAATTAAAAGTGTAAAAAAAAACTAAAACTATTTTAAATATTTAGGTAGTGTGATTTATGTATAAATTTCAAAAAAACTATTTTAACATGTACATATAAATAATATATAGATTTAATTACTAATTTAGTTGTAACTTGAAAAGGAACATTGGTTTATTTAAAAAAAAAATAGAATCAACTGAAACAAAATTTTAAATATCACAACTAAATTGAATAAAGACATTATCATATGACGTGTGACATTAATACCACTGTTATCTTGTATGACAATGTCTTAACAAGTGAAAAAATAAAAATAAAAACTGAAAAAATAATAAATAAATGTTAAGGACAATTTATCGAAAAAGACCTAATTGAATCATTTTTAAAAGTTAGAAGACTTAACTACACCAAATAAAAATTATGGAATCTAATTAATTTTTTCAAATAAATTAGAGGATCAAAACAGGATTTTAATAAAAATAAATAAGAAATAATTTTCGTAAACATTATAAGTGAAGAAAATGACTCTATGTTGTTAAGAAAGAGAGATTATTGATAAGAACTGAATAAACAAAGATGAAATCAATTTCCAATTAACATTTTCAGATATTAGGGAATACATATATACTAAAACATATACCAATTTTTTGAATAAACATTTTAAACAACAATTTCTTTTCAATTTCTATTGTTTGCTAACAAACTATATAATTTTAATAAATAGACCACACTTACGAAGAATAAAAGAGAACAATATATGAAGGGAAAGAAAAGAAAAAGTTAAAAAGTAATTTTCATAAACATTATAAGTGAAGGAAATGAGTGGATATGATGTTAAAAAAGAGAGAATATTGATAAGAGCAGAATAAACAAAGAAGAAAATCAATTTTCAATTAAAATTTTCATAAATCAGTAAACAAATATATATACTAAAACATACAATTTTTTAACAAACATTTTAAGCAACAATACCTTTACAGTTTCTATTCTTTGTAAAATGCAATAATTTTCATAAAGAGGCTACACTTAGGAAGAAGATAAAAGAAATATATGATGGAAAAGAAAAAGAAATAAGAAATAAGAAATAATTCTCATAAACATTATAAATGAAGGAAATGAATATATTGTAAGAAAGAGAATTAACTTTTTAACATAGGACCCACCTTATTGTATATGAGTTGAATCTTATATCATAGATTTTTACTGTATTTACTAATTAATATTAAGTTCAAATAAAAATACAGCCAACATTGATTCAGATTCATGTAGTTAAAGAATGAACCTAGATGTATGAAAAATATATTATTGCATTGATGCTAATGTAATTTTTTATTAATTATCATCCAACGATTAAGTACAGATAGGTTTAATGCAATGTGTCATGTTTCTGGTAATTCATCTCAGACGCAATTTCCAATACCAGTTTTTCAAGAACATGTTTCTCCAGCTCTACTGCAATATCTTCTGAATCAAATTGGATATTTAGCCACGAACCACGTCTTGCCAAGTCCTTTTCAACAAGCTGTTCTAACGTTAAAGTTGATGGATGAGAGTGACAGTGCAAGTTAACGAGTCCAGTGATCTCTTTAACCACAAGTTTCTTCAAAACATACGCTTGGACGTTTCCAACGTGAAGTGGGAAACCACTATTCTGGTATACCTGCATGAAACATTCTATGACACAGTCATGCAAGATTGTTCCACCAGAAAGTAGGCTAGGTTTTTCCTTCAGTTCAAAGGTGGATGGATCCAGCAATTGGTCAGATGATCTCTTCAGAGTAAGGTTGAAAGCATGCAGAATTTCCCTTACATAGTCTATGATGTCGTCCTTGGAGGAGACTAAATCGTTCATTGAATCAAAAGAGAGTCTTAAAAGGTCTTCAAAATGGTTCTCTTCAATTTTTTCATGCATTCTCTTTTCTGGTGACTCATCTGTGAATATCCTAAACTGTCAACTTGGTTTGACAATAGGAGACAAGAAAAATAAATTTAAGTATGTTCAGCTTTAAAACCGTATATACCTGGTTGAATGATTGTGATTGGAAGTATGGTAACATCATCCTTAATAAAATGTTCATCAAAAGATTCATTATTAGGATGTTCAACTTTGTTTCCCATGTTTACAATATTATCTGTTCTCTGACAGGATTGGCTTGATGAAACATCTGATGAAAAAGACAACGTCTGGATATCTGGACGCAAATCCTAATAAACGTCAAATTTCATCATTCACATTAAGGATAAAAAAATGACAGGAATAATTCAGATTTCTACGTCACTTCACAGTGAGAGTGAATGTCAAAAACTATTTACCAGAAAGGATCCACTTCCTCTGATTATATTATTCATGTCGATGATCTGAGTAGGACTGTCCATGTATCTGCCATCTGCTTCAAAAAAAATCTCTCATTAGACCATACTAAAGAAATGATGGATTGCATAGGTGGTAGATGAGACAAATATTTATTATATAGGGCATACCTTTGGGAATATCATAATATGCATGGAGATTGTGGCTAAGAACACTATTTTTAAGATTAATGTCTTCTTCAAAATTTTCCTCAATTCCACAGTTCAACATCTGAGACCGACTCTTCCTACTTTCAACGTGCATTTTCAATATATTTTCTTCACGAGGGCTAACTGAAGTATTCTTACTGCAACTTTCACCAAAAGAAGCTGCTTCCTGCCCCATAGATAACGAAGAATCCTTGAAAATGATAATGTTCTCCCTATTCTTCTTCAAATCATGATATGAATTCAACCATTTTCCAGTATTACTAAGGGCATGAATTGGTGAGTTTCTTTCAGAAATTTCCAATTCTTTTACTTTTTTTCCATCTCCCAGGCCCTTTGAACTGGAGGAAAGTCTAGTTGGTATTCCATCAGCTGTCTTCAACTGCTGTTCTTGTCTCCTTACTTTCATAACATGCTTCAATTTTCTCTTTATACAACTGAAGGGAAAATGTGAAAGCCTAGTATTTTGTGCATTAGAACTGAAGCTATTAGGCGAATGTGGAGGGCTAACAAAGCTTGTTTCTTCAGAATTTTCCACATTAACAGTGCCAGGCTTCAAAACTACTATTCTGTTTGACCTCAAATCAGATCTATCAGAGGAACTAAAAGGTTTTGCACATTGTGTAGCATCAGTATTTTGAGGCTTATTTAATCTACTCATCATTTTCTGCCTTGCATGCTGGCATGGTTCTTTCACTTGAGAACTCTGTAATTCCTGAATCTGTTTTACTAACAAAGAGTTTGGATCTTGCAGAAGTTTAATGAAAAGTTCCTTGTTTGTATATAAAATCTGTAAAGCATCCAGGATTTGATTAGGCTGGCAGCCTGCTCCATCTTTGCCTTGATAATGTGTATTGACAAATCTGTGATCAACAATCATCTTTTTTACTTCATTTTCCCAATCTTCTACCTGATCATTCACCATGCTGTTGATACTTCTACAGATGTAATCTCTTCTTCTGGGACTCACCTATAATTACAATTCTCTGTCAGTGCTATTGTGCTCTCCATTATGAGAGGAATGCATGGTAACACTTTTTGCCGAATCTGGCGATCTATACGAGACAATTTTAAACCTTAAAAAAAATCTAGGTTCATAATGTATGGGTTTTTCTTCTTCATAGTCGCCAGATCATTAGAACAGGACACTAATTTTTTAGACCAAGGCTGAAGGTATGTCTTCCGGCCATCATCACAGTGCAAAATTTTTTATGGCCTTCAAGATTTTAAGTGATACACTATTAAAAGATTTCTTCACGTTACAAAGTCCTAAACACTCTACCCCTATACTAATGAATTTGAGATAAAAAAAAAAAGGGAAGTAAAAGAAAAAGAGTAAAATGTCAGAACAAAATAAGATGGCTAATGTCAAGGAAGATGCCTTCCTCTCTGTACACGAGATATGGTTAACAAACTTCCTAGACGTTTAAATTGAAATAACAAGTACACTTGATGAGCAATGAGATATAAACACACTACAGGTGATCAGTACAGTATCACGAGCAACTTAAAGAACACGTAAACAGGTGAGAAAAGAGGTAAAATAGTGATAAAAGGGTAAAAGCATCATGCTGGAAAGATACATTTTTTTAAGTAGAATCTTAAAAGCAAGGGCTCTTCTTAGAAAAGGAAGTGTGTTTGATCAGAACTTACACCAATTTGAAGGCACTTCTCATCAACTGTGCTGGCCGCACCTGAGTTACTTCTGGATTTTCCATTTTCTGCGGCTTGGAAAAAAGATGCAGAAAACTTACAATTGATTTTTTATATGTAAGGTTTAAGCAAAATAAAAAATGGGAAATGAAGGCACACGTTGGCCCAAAAAACTTCATTTTAAAATCGTACCGTAGTTTCTTTTACCCTTTTCAATGCCAGACAAAGAAATATCTTACCATTAGCATGAGCATTCAAATGCAATCTTCTGTCGGAACGACTTTCACGAAAATTAAAGATTCTAAACATTCGCCACGTACAACCTGTCTCGTACGTTTGGTTAACCCGAGTAGGAGATCTTTTCGCCATGATAAGGAGGAAAGCTTTTATCTGCGATCTTCTAGTCAAATTTAATGGGAAAAACACCAAGTCTATGCAAGCACAGAAATAAGGAAAGGTTAATCCTTGTAATTGAGAAGTAACGAGTTATATTCAGCTTCAGAATGTCATCCAAAAGACAGTTACAAACACCAGAATCCAAAGTACTAACTGATAATCAGTTTCAAACCCCACAAAAAAATTTAGACTAGGAAGAGTTCATTTTTACAATCGAATGATCATACTTTCTAGAACTAAACAAGTATACCTATATATTGATCTATAACCAATTGAGAATTTGCATATTCACCAATCACCGAACAAAATTGAAATATAAGAATGAAAAATAATCCACTTTGTCGGTTCGTAAAACAAAATACGTGAAGATCAGAGTCATTTAATTCCTAAAGTCTTCTTCTTTTTTGGCTTAGTTAAGGTAAACATTGTGACTGTAAGGATATATGAATCAAAGGTGAGAGATACATACCTGGTTGTAATACCCAAATGCACGTCCTCCCAGAGCTTAAACAAGAGCATGATAATGTAGATCTAGAGTGGAAAGTGGAAGTGTGAAACGAAAAAACACAGGGAAAGTGAATGTGTGTGTGTGTGTAAATAGTGAAAAGGAATCTGATTGGAACACCAAATACTAAGACAGTGACTAGTAAATTGTAAAATAATTAGTGGTGGAGGAAAGCTTTTGGTTGAAGGCAACTTGGCTTGCTTTTGTTTCGTTATCTGAAACCTTTCTCGACATGTCCACCACTTCTATGCAATTGCAATGACAAATCCAAATGCACCCTCCTTTGCATGTCTTTCATTGTCTGAGTGTCAGTGTCTCAGAGTACTGCGATTCACTAAAGGGTGGACTTTGATATACATATGTTCAGAGAATGAACTTCTGACTACATGTTTAAGGTTGAAGGAATGTGATTATATGACCATACAAAGTCCATTAACGGAAAATTGGTATTAGTAGCCATCAAAATATGATGTTGGTCCTCCTTTCGGGGTTGTATTGTTGAATGGAGCTGTCTGAGTACCGAAAACGGTGTCGTTTAAAGGAATCTTCCCTTTTGCTGGAGTAGACGTGTTGCTTTCATTCATGTGTTAGGAGGGAACACCCTGGCCCCTGTTCCTTGTCTTGCTACCACTGTCAACCCTTCATGCTTCTGCCTTTGGTCCCGCACTCACTTATTATGAGATTATCTTTTATTTTCACTATGCATAACATAACACATCTCATATAACAACAACAGAGAAAGACGTAAATGAAATTTGGGCCGAGCCCAAGGAAGAGAAAACTGCATTTAGGCCCGATGTGAGTCCGCACAAAAAAAAATTCTAAAACCCAAAGAAACCCCTTGAGCGTTGTCGCGAGTGCCACTCCCTTTGATGGCGTTATCATTTCTTCGTGTTTCGCACTTGCTTTCTCCAACTCCTACACCTGCAACTGCAACTGCAACTGCAACTACTACTACATCCACTGTCGTGAAGTTCCAACACTTTCGTAGACCTTCTGACTTCACACTCTTCTTTCGCTCTTCAATTTTATGTCCATTGGTTAGGGCCATTGGGCCTGATGGGAGGTTCTACCCAAGCCCAGGTGACGACGACCCACCGGAGGCTGCCGAGGACTCCTCCCATGGCTTCTCCACCTTCCAACAAATTCAGCAGCAAGCGGAACGCGCGCGCCAGATCGAAGAGGAAGACTAAAAGAACAACCAGGCCACGTACCTCGCCGCCATCGCCGACGTCGAAGACGCCCCCGATAACGTCGACTTCGACACCTCTGGCGACGACCTCTTCGGGGATATCGACAAAGCCATCGCGCTCAAGCGTAAGGAGTTCGTCTCCCAAGGCCTTCTCGAGCCGAATCCCCCCAAACAGGACCAGCTGGCCGCTGCAGCCGCCGTGGATGAACTTCAGGCGGATGAGCTCGGCGATTTGGAGGAAATTGAACGGCTCCAGGGACTCACCGGTAATGGTAATGGTAACGGAAGCTTGAGTGAATCTCCGTTTGAATTGGATTTTGACAGTTACGGGAAAAGCAAGGTTAGAATTGTAGACGGAAAGTTCAAGATGAGTTTGGCGGAGCTTTTAGATGAGAGTAAGGTCGTCCTGGTGTCGGTTTCCGGTGATTTAGAAGTCGAAATCACCGGAATTCAGCACGATTCGCGGANCGACACCTCTGGCGACGACCTCTTCGGGGATATCGACAAAGCCATCGCGCTCAAGCGTAAGGAGTTCGTCTCCCAAGGCCTTCTCGAGCCGAATCCCCCCAAACAGGACCAGCTGGCCGCTGCAGCCGCCGTGGATGAACTTCAGGCGGATGAGCTCGGCGATTTGGAGGAAATTGAACGGCTCCAGGGACTCACCGGTAATGGTAATGGTAACGGAAGCTTGAGTGAATCTCCGTTTGAATTGGATTTTGACAGTTACGGGAAAAGCAAGGTTAGAATTGTAGACGGAAAGTTCAAGATGAGTTTGGCGGAGCTTTTAGATGAGAGTAAGGTCGTGCCGGTGTCGGTTTCCGGTGATTTAGAAGTCGAAATCACCGGAATTCAGCACGATTCGCGGATTGTTAATTCCGGTGATTTGTTTGTGTGTTGCGTTGGGCGTAAAACCGAAGGACATTTGTTTCTTTCCGAGGCTGATAAGAGAGGTGCGGTTGCGGTTGTGGCTAGTAAAGAGGTTGATATTGAGGATACTTTGGGGTGTAAGGCTTTAGTTATTGTGGAAGATACTAATGCTGTTCTTCCTGCTCTGGCTGCGTCGTTTTATAAACATCCTTCCACTAAAATGGCCGTGATTGGGATAACTGGGACTTATGGAAAAACGACCGCCACTTGTTTGATTAAAAGTTTGTATGAATCCATGGGACTACGCACTGGGATGTTGAACTCGGTTGCCTCTTTTGTCCACGGGGATAATAAGTTGGAGTTAGGTAGCGCGGCGTTGGATGCTGTTTTGGTTCAGAATTTGATGGCGAAGATGATTCACAACGGGACTGAGGCGGTGGTCATGGAGGCAGGTTCTCATGGCCTGGAGGAAGGAAAGTATGATGAGGTTGATTTTGATATCGCTGTTTTCACAAACTTGAGTCAGGACAAGGAGGGCGACAGAAATGCGCAGGCTAAGTTGTTCTCGAGAATGGTGGATCCTGAGAGGCATAGGAAGGTTGTTAACATTGATGATCTGAACGCGCCCTTTTTTGTGTCGCAGGGGAGCCAGGAGGTTCCTGTTGTGACGTTTGCGATGGAGAATAAGGATGCTGATGTGCATCCATTGAAGTTTGAACTTTCTCTGTTTGAGACTCAGGTGTTGGTTAATACTCCCACAGGGATACTGGAGATTTCTTCAGGTTTGCTTGGGAAGCATAATATTTACAACATTCTTGCAGCTGTAGCGGTTGGGATTGCTGTTGGGGCGCCCTTAGAGGACATTGTTAGAGGAATTGAAGAGGTCGATGCGGTTCCTGGGAGGTGTGAATTGATTGATGAGGAACAGGCGTTTGGGGTGATAGTGGACCATGCCAGTACTCCTGATTCATTGTCTAGATTGCTTGATTCTGTAAGAGAGCTAGGACCTCGCAGGATCATAACGGGTATGTTTGTGTTGTGTTACTGTTTCGTTTATTGCTGTGGAAATTTTCCTTTATAATTTTGTTTTGGACCTGAAGAAACTGTACCAAAGCATTTTTCTTTTGGAACATTAAAACTGCATACTTCTTCACATGCCCTTGATTTCGAAGACTTGGATTATTTTATTGAAATATACTCTCTTTATTGCGCATCTCACAATTCCTTGTTCATTTTGAAGTCATTGGATGCCGTGGTGAGGGTGACAGGGGTAAGAGACCTGCGATGACCAAGATAGCAACAGATAAAAGTGAAGTGACCATGCTCACATCTGACAATCCCAAAAATGAAGACCCTTGTATGTATTTTGAACATTGAATATAGGCAATGTAGGAATATTAGTGTATGCTTTAATTAATTAGACATACTTTTTGTCTTTGTTTCCAGTGGATATATTGGATGATATGCTATCTGGGGTAGGATGGTCAATGCAAGACTACCTCAAATATGGAGAAAATGACTATTATCCACCTCTTCCAAATGGTCATAGACTTTTTCTCCATGACATTAGGAGGGTAGCTGTGCGAGCCGCGGTTGCAATGGGAGAGGAGGGCGATGTGGTTGTAAGTTAACGGAGTTCTATGCTATTATTTTTCACCCTCTGTTGTAGAATTGAGCTTCGTTGTGATGTCTCATAAGTCACTTATTTGAAAGTATTTTGGTGTTTGTTACTGCAAAAAGGTTTTTTAGTTGTTTATTTTATTTTTTTGGATAATATTAAGATTTATATCAAAGTGATATTTCTACGAAGCAGATTTTTCTTAGGAGGCAACATAGAAAACCAACAAGAAAGAAAAACTATAGTCAAATATGCTGATTAAGAGAGAATAAATAGGAAGAGGCTTAAATTTAAACAGTGAAGAAACATAGAATAACTACTTGCCATGATCCAAAACAACAATCCTTATCTTGCATGTGGATGAATTACCCTTCAACATCTAGCTTCAATGTTATTTCTTATCTATTTTCCATTCATCATTTTTATGTCCGTCTATCATAGTTTCCTCCTGTAAACCGAACATCCCAATTAGTGATTCAATGAAGTGAAGACTCGGTTCCGGTACACATGTAGGAATTCTAGTTTGACATTTCGGTAGCCTTGCATTGATCGAAGTCTTTACTAATCTTCCCCTTTTATTTCTTACTTGCCATTGATACAACCCCATCCTAGTATAACGGCCCAAACCAAGCTAACCTTTCTCAATGATTTGTGCTTTTTGAATTGAGAAAACTTCCTTTTAGCTGTCAGTCTACTTTGATAACGTATTCTATGTAAGATTTAGATTCACTGTCTGAAAAAATAAAATACTGAGCGGAGTTTAGTAACCTGTAGACTCTTGTTTTGACATCTTTTTGAATTAAATCTTAAAGAATACCATATCTTAAATAAATTGAAATAATGCACCAAAGGTTAACGTAAACAATGAATTGTCAATTCGTTGGTCGTGTGATGCGTGCAACAAGTTTATACTTTTATATGCATGGTGCAGGTGGTTACTGGCAAAGGCCATGAAGCATATCAAATAGAAGGTGATAAGAAGGAGTTTTTTGACGATCGAGAAGAGTGCCGAGAGGCATTGCAATATGTTGATGAGCTTCACCAAGCTGGAATAGATACAAGTGAATTTCCATGGAGGTAATGTTGAGTGTTTTATGCTTCTATGCCCATTTGTTACTTGACAAAGCTGGTTATTGTCAAATGTCGAAGACCACACCTTAAACAAAAAAATTCACATGTTTATTTCGTTTTTTGTCTCGTTACTGTTTCAGGTTACCAGAGAGCCATTGATAATGGGTTGTTTTCTGGCTGCAATTCTAGCAAGTTTGCAGAAAAGGGCAAAAAGCTGGAAAGCACAAGCCCGAAATAAATAGCCTTCAAATTCCAGCCAAAAAATTGCACGGTGCGCTTAGTACAGTTAGTTTATTCAACTGTTTAATTTTGTTTATACAAATGTAGTCATAGTCTCTTTTTCCCTTTTCCACTGTAATTCTACGTCTTCTACCTAAATTATCAAGAGTAATGCATTAGCTAGCTTCCTCTTTCTTATCTTTTTACAACTGTTCACGGCCATTTTTCTTCCTACCTTGTTTTTTTACATACATCCTCTAATTTCTATTCCAAGTAAAATTTATACTTTAGACTTAACAAAATATTAGAAACTATTAAAACATTTTTTATTAATCATTTTTTTTAGAATTTTAAATGTGTGTTTAATATTTTTTGTTGAGTAAACAATTTTTAAATAATTAAATTAATATTAATTTTTTCATACCTCACCTGTATTTACAGATATTCACATATTATAATATATTTTTAAGTATACAATTAAACAAGGAAGTAAATTACATTAGTTATCTTCGAGATTTCTATAAAATTATATAAATATTTTTAATAACCTTTCTTATACTAATATACACTGCAATGTTTTTCAAATAACAAACGGGATAGTGTAATGTATAAAGAATATTGATAAAATATTTTTAAAACAATTAAGAGAAATAGGTGTAAAGATTAAAAAACTACAAAAAGTAGTTTACAGAATTTTAAGAATATTTAGTGTAACTCTACAAAAACTGGGGTTGAACTTAATCTTGACTGTGCATCAATAAGCAGATGAAGCTTCAGACTGACAATTTTTTTCTATTTTGTGTGCATCAATAAACCATTCATCGAAAGGTAAAACAACTTACGAATCACATAGATTCTTAACAGAGCGTTGCAATAATATCCTGATCATATAAATAAATACAAAAGTCAGAAAAATCATAATCTCCTAAGAACCAGACCATAACTATTGGGCTCCAATATCCATTACCACTGCTTTCTTACACATACTACTTCACATTCATTTCTCTCCGCAGCTTTTCAAAATACCTCTTTTTCATGTATTTTGAAAAGTCTATTTGAATATGAGTAAGAGAAACTTTGGTACTCCACCCAATCGCTTTTTGATGCACCCCAACGAGAGTGTAGGAAATATAAAAAAGACTTAATCAATAATTTACATATATTTAGTCATATAATTTATTCTTAATATATTGTAAATATAGTTAATTTGGTTTCTTTCATTAAATTGATTTTAATATTGTTTGAAAGATGTTATGTGTCAAAATTTGAGTCATATTTTATCTTAGAACTATCTCTTTTAATATATCTCTTTTAATATGTGTACATTTCAGATTTTGACACGTGACATATCCAAACTGTTTGAAACATGACATTTTTTTCGATTTTGACACATCGACATTTTTCAAATTTTAACATGTAACATTTTCAAATGTATTGAAGAATCAATTTGACTTTATTTAAAAAATATTGGATAAAAAAATATAGGAACCAAAGTAAATTATATAGATTAAGCTACTAATTAAGCTTATAAAGAAATGCTTAGTTAGGCTTTTTATTCATTTTTGTCCTTTTTTTTATTCTAGGGAGTTTCTATTCTTTAAAAAAGATTCAATTGGGTTTTTATTTTTTTAAAAGAATTCAATGTAGTCATTTATGTTAAATTAATATTGATATCGTTTGGAAGTATCATATTTTAAAATTCATGAGTCTTATAGATATTAAAATCTAATTCATCTTTTACTTTGAATGTATCATATGTCAAAATCTAAGTTATCTTTTACTATACACGTTATATGTGTCAAAATTAGATAATTTCAAAATAGAAAATGACTCAATTTTTGACAAGTAATAGATTTAGATTTTAACATATGACACTTTTAAATAGTACTAATACTAATTTAATGAAGAAACCACGTTGAATCTTTTTAAAAAAAAATAAGGATCTAATTGAGTAAAAGAATAAATATAAAAACTATAACCAATTAAAGAACTAAATATATGAATCAAATTACTAATTAAACCTTAAAAAAAAAAATCTTTTATGAAAAGATTCCACATTAAGCCATTAAAAAAGTTTCTCAAAAGTTTCTCACGTTTCATAAATTAAAAGTTTAGGTGTTATATTCTATATTAAAATAACATTGTGAATTCCAAATCACATCATTTGAAAATACTTTTCATGTTATAGAATCTGAAATGAACGTTTTTACTTTTGAGGTATCCAATTCGAAATTAACCTTTTTTTTCTCACTTATTGATTGATCGATCTTGAAGTTTGGTTTCTCCTTTTATTTGTATCATATCCTCATATTTTATAGGCAATACTTGTGTTGAGCAATGACAAACCTATGTTTCTCACAATAGTTAGAAACACTATACATGCATGTACATAGAGGAAATTCATTATTTACAACGAAAGTTTAATATTCGTAATTCATAGTTTTGTTGATTTTTGTATAATTTTGATGTATTCATTGTATGAATGATGTTTTTTATTGTGATGATTGTCTATGTCTTTCATGAGAATTGATTTATATTTACCTTATTTGTTATTAACTTTGATAATTCTATTATTTAGACAATGAAAACAAATTATTTTAAAATTAAAGAAAAGTAATTTTGAAACTCAACTTACAAAGATTTTCTTCTTACTTTTTATTTACTTTTAACAAGTTTTTTATTAAGAAAGTAACTTTAAACTTAATTTAACTTTACAAAATTAGTTTGTAAAATAAAGTTTTATAATAAAAATGTCATACGTGCATATAGATACAAAAGGAATAAGTCTTAGAAGGAAAGTTCATTGATATTCGTAATTTATAGTTCTCTTAAAAACAAATTATTTTGAAATTAAAGAAAAATAATTTTAAAGCTTAACTTACAAATATTATTCCTCTTACTTTTCATTTTTTACTTTTAATAAGTTTTTTTAAGAAATAGAATTTAAATTTAACTTAATTTTACAAAACTAACTTGTAAGGTGAAATATATATATATATATATATATATATATATATATATATATATATATTAAAAATTGACTTTATTAATAGTGAATGTGAGACCTATGAACATGATACTATAGTTAACAAATGGACATTTCCAAACCATGATTACCATGCATTATTCCATTCACTTACTGCTTTTAAGTTAAATTTAATGAAATAATTTGAATAGTTATTAAAAAAAATCCAATACACAACATATTTGAAGGAGTTTATAAGTGTAAGAGAGAAGTTGATAAATGTGAGAAAAATGAAAAATGTCATATAAGAGAAAAATGAGGTGGAAAATGAGTATATATAAAGTGTTTTTGTTGTTTAAATGATTGAATGGATGAAGATAAGTAATTGTGGGATTTGGTGGAGTAAAGAAGAAAGGGAAAGAGCATGCATGTGCACATCACATTCCAACATCATGATGAAATGGAAAAGAAAAAGGAAAGTAGAAGAAAGGGATAATATGAAGAGTGTAGTAGTGACATAATTTGGTTCTAAATAATGTTTTGGAGTCATTACCAAATACTTCTATCAAACCTGTCCCCACTTACCCACACATCTACCACAGCCCAAATTCTTGTGTTGGATAACTATCAACCTCTTTTCATCCTCTCATCATAGAATGTATTATTTTATTAATTTCATTTTAAAATATTTACTATAATAAAATCATATACCAAACTAATATCTAAAAATAAACTTTGAAATTTAGAATATAATCACAAGAAAATAGTTAATATTCAAGATGAAATTCTCAATGACAGTCGAAATATATAAAGACAAGAGTTATTAACAATCATATAACAAGTGCAAGAAACAAAAATCGACCCATATGGATCACTGAGTTTTCATATGATACATCCACTGCTTTTCATGACGTCTGATAAAATACTTATAATTTGTTATATTGTTAAAGAAATTGTTTACATACGGACAGAGTGTTTTCGATATGAATTTTATAAAAGTGAAGATAAAAGAATTAAAAATTGAAATAATAACGAAATTGTAAATAAATAAATAAAAATGTTTAAAAATGTGGAGTTAATGGTCATGTGTGAGAAGCAGGTCCAACGAGGTATGTTTGAGGTATGAGCTGTTGTGCACAAGAAACATAAAAGGTTGATGAGAGGGCCCACTCTGCTTTTTGAATACATGTTATCATACTCCACACAGTTAATATTAGGTCCACCACATCCGATTTCTCTAATATTTCAAACAACATACTTTCATTTTTCAACTTCTTCCATATAATACAAAATGTAAGATCAAAGACAAGAATCCCTAAAACCATTCAATATCAATAAACAAATTACATCCACATGTGTCTAGATTATCAACCAAGTTATTCCTCCATTTTCTAATACCCTTCTAACTTTCCTAAATAGGACTTTTTAGGTTGTTATTTTGGTATATTTAATAGTTTTATTTATGTGTAATTAAACTTAAATGTTTTTATTCTGTTCTTTAATTTTTTTAAAGACAATGTATATGATAAAGCTAAAAACTATAAAATAAATAAATTATCTCGTGTAATAATTAATTTTAATAATGTTATTTCAATAAAATTGATATCGAAACCGTTAGATTGAATATTTGTATTTAAGGTTTTGTTTGTTTTGAATTTTCGTTATAAACTTTGTTCTCATATGGTGATATAAAAATACTAAAACAAGAAATATTATATCATTACAGAATAAGGTCACCTCATTCTAAAACGTTATCATTCCAAAGAAGAAACTTTAGTGATTAACAATACAATATTTTAATGTGTTTAATAAAGTCGTAGATGATGATTCTAACTTTGTTAATGTTTAACTTTAGAGTAAAAAATTAAAAATGGCTAAACAAATGAAACAATATATATAATATATATATATATAATGTGAAAAGATATATATAATATTTTCAAAAAAATATCATTATGAAGATATAAGTATAACTTATACATAATATATTTACATTAATTTCAATTTAAAGAAAGTATATAAGTATTACAAGAAAATATCATTAAAGAGACACAACATTGATAAAACATTAATCCAACTCATACAAAAGAAAAAACACAATTTCCAATTCAAAACATTGAAACAATGAATTTATAAATTTTCAGTTTTATATAATACTCAATATATATATATTTTTTAATTTTACTCGTAAAATGGTTTTGTATAACACATTTTTATATAATAAATTAAATTTACTGTTGT